GAGAATGAAGTGAATACTCATCTCAATGTCTTAAGATCTGAAATATTAATGTATAAGAGATACTTGAGTAAGAATTGAGAGATAGCTGTAAAAGTGTTAGTGAATATAGAAGCTTCTATACAATATATTGATAATTATATAATCTGAAGACTGAAAGAGATTCACTGAGTAAAGAATCTCTGATGTATAAAATTATCTGATAACTAATATTTAATATCATCTGCAAGAGTAAGAGTTTTCTTGCACTTTGAAGAATAATCTTGCTATATTTGAGTGTGAGAGCTGCAGAATGTGAAATATAATCTTATTCTCAGACTCAATTAATTTCAAAGATTCAATCTGCAGATTCAATGATGTATATATCATATACAGTTAACTGATAGAAAGAAAACAGTTCATACAATTCTATTAACTAATATGAGAAGAACATTTCATATCTCTGATATAGAAGGATTAAATCTGCTTATATATTAATAAGTAAAGAGAACAATTTGCAAGACCTCATCTGAAAGCATTCTGTATATCATATAAGATTTGAAAGTGAAGAAAACCAAGATAAAGAATATACAGAAGAATAAGTGTATAAAGAAGCTTCTGAAGAAGTATGAGAAGATCTTCTGAACAGATCTTTCACTGAAATTATCACTGAAATGAGAATTTATACATGAGATTGATATGAGAGATACAAAATCAGTCAATCAGAATATGTACTCTCTGTTATAAACACATCTCAAAGAACAGAAGTGTCAGATCACTGATCTTCTAGAATATGATCTTATATAACTCTTATCAAGTATGTGAGACTTTTCAGTTCTATTCATGAAAAAGATAGATGAGAAGTGATGAATATGTATCAATTATCAAGCACTTAATAAGCTTATAATCAAGAATAAATATTCACTGTCATAGATTCAATAACAGTTAAATACAGTTAGAAACATCTGATATCTATCAAAGATTAATCTTCTCTCAGAATACTGACAGATCTGTGTAGATGAACTGTTAGTTCTGTTAACTACATTTAATATATAATAAAGAAAGTTCAAATTTCTGATAATATTATTCAGTCTGATAAATGTATCTGTTATCTTTCAAATAATAATGAATACAATTCTTCATAAACAGAATAAAATCTCATATTTTATATATCTCAATGACATTCTAGTCTTTTCAAACTCATATAATGAACATCTGAAGTATCTCAATAAAGTGCTTATAACTCTGACAGAGTATAAGCTCTATATCAAATTAATAAAGTATGTGTTTGAAATGAAAGAGTTAAAGTTTGTAGAATATGTAGTGAGTGATGACTGTATACATCTCATTCTGAAGAAATTGAATGTTATAGTGAATTATTCACAGCTAAGAAATGTACATCATGTATAACAGTTTCTTGAGTTAGTCTCATATTACTGTAAATTCATCAAGAATTTTACATGAATATCTGCATCACTCTCAGATCTCTTAAGAGAAATGAATGTAAATCTGTGAAAGAAGAAGTTTTGTTCAATTATCTGAAATACTGTGTGTGAAGAGACTTTTCTCACACTGAGAAAATGTGTAATAATATTCTCAGTGCTTATTCAATCAGATTGTGATAAACCTTTTTATATTGAGACAGATACATCTGAATAAGCTATCAGAGATACTCTTCTACAGATGAGTAAGAATAGCAAGCTGCATCTGATGATATATAATAATAGAAAACTATCAGATGCTGAGCTCAATTACTCAGTACATGAAAAGAAATTGCTAGTAATTAAGCACACACTGATATTGTGAGATAGATATATTGATAACAGATATATAACAACAGTGATTATAAATTACAAAAGTCTTGTCTATCTATAATTAATGATAAAACCTTTCAAATGCTTAGCATGTTGAATCTCAGAGTTTTAAGCATATAATCTTCATATCAAATACTAAAAGAAATTGAATACTGTGATATCTGATGCATTCAGTTGTAGATCTGATTTCATGAATGAGAATTCTGCAAACCAGATATAAGAGATATTCATATTAAATGCACTGAGAGAATGCAAGAAATCAGACTGAATGAATGTTATAATCTCTTACTTAAAAAATAATAAGATATTGAATAATAAGTGTTTTATAAGAGTAGTAGAAGAGATGCTTCTGAACTTCAAGCTGAGAAAATTGAAAAACAATATTATACTTTACTGCAATCTAGAATATGCAGAAGCTCTCTATCTAGAATCTTCATTTAGACATGACTTAGTGACTCACATGCACAAGGAATTCAGTCACTTAGAAAGTCCTGAACTCATGAGTGTACTCAAATCAAGAGTATACTGGCCAAGCATGGCTGAGGACATTCAGATGTATGCTCATAAGTGTCTGAATTGTCAGATTGTGAAAGAATTTAAGAAAGAATTAGAACACAAGAAAGTGCAATATCAGATAAAGTGTATGATATAATCATTCAAATGATAAGAGATGGACCTCATAGACATATTACTGCAGACATTAAATGGAAATTGATGAATAATTACTGCTATTGATTACACTACTGACTGACCAGTTATAAAAGCAGTTTCAGAGATGATAGAGAAGATGATAATGAAGTTTCTACATGATGAGATCTATATCAACTATGAAATACTGTGTGAGATTCTAACTGATAACAGTGTAAATCTTATAGAAGAAGTGATAAGGCATTTCATGAGCCAGTTACAGACAAGACATTGTAGAACAACATCATATCATCTGCAGACAAATAGAAAGATGAAATGCTTGAATGAAATCTTAAGCAACATGCTGATGAAATATCTAGTGAGCAAGTCTATGAGACTATGAGATGAATATCTCAGACAGGTGCTACTGGCCACACAGATTCAACAGCATGCAGTCTTCAAGTGTTCATCATTCTATCTGTTGTATGAATTGCATCCGCGCATTCTGAAGAATGCTTCAGAAAAGGTGAGAAAGAAAACAGCAGTTGTAAACACAGTAGTAGCAGTTACAGATGCAACAGTCACAGATACAGAATCAAGATTGAAAGAGATCAGTCATGCACACACAAAAGTGAATGAGTTACTCCTGAACTGAGCAATTCAATTGAAAAGAATATGAGACTCACTAGTTAAGAAATTAAGTCTCAAGATGAAAATGTGAGTTCTTGTATACAATGAGAGTTCTGAGAAGTTTCAATTTAGATGATTTGAGTCATATAAAATACTCAAATCACATTCTCTGAGAACATATGCATTGAAAGAATCAGAGAGACAGATCTTATGCAACTTAATCAATAATTCATAACTTATAAAAGTAAAGATATAAGATCTGAGCAGATTATAATCATCTGCAGCACTATTATCAGTATTAAAAAAGAAGAGACTTATAATTGAAAAGTCTTACAAAGTAAGAGAAATCATAGATACTTACAAATCAGATAATCTCACTTATTTCAATCTTTTCACAATTATAAGAAAAGAATGAAAAGAAATAAAGAAATCAGATAAATATCACACTCTGATAAGTGATGAGACTGTAGCTGATTGTATGATAATACACTGCAGATAGCAGGCACAATGTGACAAAGAGCAGTCTCAAAGTGACAGACTTGCATGTGAATCAGATCACAGAAGAAAAAGAAATTCAGAGTTGAATTTAACTGTTTATATCAGTTCAATTGCAGAGATTACAGAGAATAAACTATCTGAAACATCTGTGAATGTGTGAGACTAAGTCATCTCAATCTCTGAGAACACTCAGAGATCAGATAAGATTAGTTTCAATGAACTGTTCACTGTAGTGATCTGAGTGAGTGAAGAGAGACAGTATAATGCATGAGACAGAATCACAAAAGATGAAAGCTGTCAAACCTAGTCACTGAATGCTGTATTATATAGAGGTTGTGTAAGAGCAGTAACTAGCAGATAAAGAAAAAGTGTAAGAAAAGAGAAATGAATTGATTATCAACTGTAAGAATCAGCTGTAAAAGACAAATGTTATTATACATATCTTATTCATTTTCATACATCACACATTTAATCTATTTCCAATGCCACATCACCTGAAAAACATCAAAAACAAAGGAAATCTCAAAACTTGAGATCTGTAAGAGATTCAAGAGCTGTAAGTCACTCTCACAATAACACTGTGCATGTCTCTGATTCCTCTACTGCTCTGTATACAATATTAATGTCATTTATCACAAGATTGACTGAAATGCCAATATAGAAATGTGTACATGTATGTGTAGAAAAATTGAAGAAGAGTGCAGAACCTGCAGAACCAGAAGTTAGAACAGAGAGAACAGAGGTAGAAGAAACAGAAGAAGGAGAAGATGCAGGATCAGATAAACAATGACAGAAGTTATTCAGAGCTGAACACTTATAACTCAGTGTGCACACAATCTTCTCTGCAGAGAAGAGAGAGAAAGCAATAGAAGAAGCTTAAGAGTGAAAGAGAGTAGTCTCAGTGATGTTATTATCTTTAATTAGAATAATCTCTGATGCTGAAGCAACTAAGAATCATTATTAGTATACAAAAATTGTAAAATCAGAAGTGAGAACAGTTATTAAATAAACACTCACTGATCTTAGAGTTGTATATATAATTACAACACATACAAGACTTCTCAGAAAGAGAAAGAGAAACATGAGAGAATACAGAAAGCAGAACACAGTGTGTGAATAGCTCATTCTTATAATAACATCTCAGACAAGATGTATGAGTCTCATGTCTGTGAGTGTAAAAGAGTACAACATCTGTGTTTCTGTTTCTGAAAACACAGATATCTTTTATCTGCATCATGAAGTTGAATAACAGATGTCAGAGAATAGACTGATACAGATCTATTATTCTGAAGAAATTTATTAGAGCAGATATCTCTGCAATATTGAACTTTATAGTTGTAAAAAGCTTCTTAATATCTGTGAATATCATGACTTCATGCACAGTAAAACTCATAACAATTTCTTCTAAGAATAGAAAAATCAGTATTAGAAAGAAAAGATGAAAAATGAAAAGACTTATAATCTTAATACTGTTGAGAGAGAGAGTGATTCTCTGATATAAATGAATAATTATCTCATCATGAATATTTAAAATAAATATAATAATCAGTGTCTGTGACTGAGCTTCAGATAGTTATGTTATATACAGTCTTTGTATAATAAATTATTCTGAGAGTTGATAAGAAGAGTGAGAGTGTATATACTGAGAAATGTAATTCATGAAGTCTACATAACATCTCCTTGAAATGGGGAGAGCTGATAACAAAAGCAGAGAAGATAAAACCAGAAGTAGCAGGAGTGAGAATTGTGGGAACAGGGATAGCAGGAGCGGGAGAATCAGACACAGAAACAGATGTAGAAGATTGAGAGAAAGTAGCAGAGAAAGAAACAGAGAGAACAGAGAGAGATGCAGAAGACTCAGTCATATATGATATAAGCAATTTCTTTATTATCACATTCTTCAAGTTCTTAATCAATAATTCAACATTGAGTTCACTATCATCAGCAGATACAGATCTGTCAATATATGAAGATTCTATATGAATAAAAATAACATATCAGCATCTGCATTCATGCAAAATTATATCAGAAAATATGATCAGAAACTCACTGAGAAGAAAAAGATTGAGAATGTATAAGAAGATAAAGAAAATGTGTCATTCATAATAGTATATTCTGATAACTGTTGGAAGATAAACAAGTTCTGATCATATTTCACAATGTGTTACACTTACTGCTAATAAACTGCCTGGTATGAGCACTACAAGAATGCTTATTATGAGAACAGAGAGTTATTATCAGGAATACATACAATGTAATAGATGAACAGATAGAAAGAGTTGAATAGAAGAAGAAGTAGAAATCTTGAATAAGATAGTGATGTTTAATAATGATGATGATAAAGAAAATGATTGAAGAATGAGAAAAGTTAGTGAATGAGTGATGTAATATAGTGAAAGTTTCTTTATGAGAGTGTACATGAGATGCTAGCTGAATCAGAAATAGGTCACAAGATTGTAAACACTAGTGATGTGCTAATCTGCATGAAGCTAGAGTGGATGTCATGATCACATGAGTGTGACTGAATCTGGTGAAGGAGAATGTGGTTCAGAAGAACATACAGTGATTCAGAAGAATGTACAATCATCAGATAATAACACAGCTGCTTCTGAACTTGCTTACAAGTGTAAAGGGGCCATAGCAGCCACTAATTAATTTAGTGTACAATATTATGATATATAAGAAGCTGGCGTACGCCTGTAATCGTACGCTGGCAAGCAACCTTTGAATCACACTATGACATCATTTGAATATAACATAGAAAGATCTGATTGATGAATATAAGAACCTCACTTCTATATAAGGTCAGCAGATTACTCTTTTATAATAGTGAAATATCACTAAGATATCACTTCAACTATTTTCACTTATGAAATAAGAGAAGAGTATTCACTCATTATCTATATAGAATAGCTAGATACTGACTTCTTATAAAATAGATTAGTAATTCATTTTTTTTCTATAGAAATATATATAAGAGTTACTGTATTTCTCATATAATCTTCATAGTATACTAATTATTATATCTGTGATATTCTTATAAAAACTCTGTAGTCTATAAGCTCACTATTTAAGTAAGATAGTTAAGCTTACTTATATAGCTTCTTAAATAACTATCTCTATATAATACTACTGACTAGTTATCACTTCAGTTTCATTATATTACAATTTAAATCACTTAATTTAATTATAAGTTTGAATCAGTTAAGCTCTATTAATAGATTGATATAATCTTATATATCTGTACTGAGACTGATCTGACTTCACTCTCTGAGAAAAATTTCATACTATTCTCTAGAGTATGTACATCTCTACTCTGACAGAAATTCAAAATTTCTGAACTCACTACACATTTTAATATAAGCTCTTCAACTGCTTTACTACTGTCACAGCCTCTATACATCTATATCTATTATAAAGATAGAGAGATTAAGATCAGAGATTCTCTGAATTATAAGAGAAATATATTATCTGAATTTCATAACTTCATCTGTATTCTCAAACAGAAATTCTGCCTTAACTCAAGCCAGTTTAATACTTATGAAATATAAGTAATATACACTATTAATCTTCTTGAAGATATCTCTGTGACTACTTGAGCTATTAAGAAGAGAGAGCTTGAGTGTATTAATACTACTATAACTTGAAAAGAATTCAAGAACTTTCTACTGAATTAAATTAAAGATTACTGTAATCACAGCTTCACAGCAGTATAGTAGTTTAACTTATTATATTAATAAGATAATAAGAATTCTTCTAATTTTAATATAAGATTTAAAGAATATTGAGAGAAATTAACTGATAATTTGAATTAATTAAAAACACAGCTTTATCTTATAAAGCTGACTCACAAGATATAGATAATAATATCACAGTATTAGAGTTCATTAATTAATTATACTGAGCTTACTAACTTGACTTTCTGAATCTATTTGAATAACTAATACTCTGAGAAAAAGATTAATAAGATCTCTTCTAAGTAATTAATAATAGAATCTAAACAGTACTGTAATAGCTTTAGTCTAGAGAAGTAAAGAAGAATTTCAAGTATTTTAATTCTTTACTCACTGTGAAGAAATATTAAAAAAAGATTTAATAAAAATCTCTATTTTAACTGCAGAGCTGATAATTACTATACGAGTAATTATAAGAAGCTTAAGAAGAGAAGAAACTGAGAAGATATCTTTTCAAAGTTAACTCTTCTTTTAATAAATGTATTTATGAAAAATAAAAAAGAGAAAGAAATGAAGAATTAATAATTCTCATATCTCTGACTTTATATTACAATCATAATGTATACTCTGAATAAGAAGATATTAATAAGATGTCTACTTAACTTCAGAATGAATACTAACTTCATATTCTATTTCTTTTCTTTAATGAAGAGTTGAAAGAAGATAGATCTGTCAGATTATATAAAATTTACTAATAAAATAAAGTATCATTATTTTAATATAATTCAAGCAAAGTATGTAATTACAGACTCAGAAGAAATCTTCAAGAAAAGTAGTCTGCTTCTTCACACTATTAATATTATAGATAAGAATATCATTCTAGATCTTCTAAAATTGAGAGAAAACAATTCTCTTATTAACTAAGTTACTTAGATGTGATGATACTATCTCACTAATAAAGAGACAATGATAGAGAAATCTGAAGACTTTCATCAGAAGAATCTTGAGAAAAGAATAGAGTCAATATACTATATAATAGATAACTGAGACTTGAAAATAGATAAAGAAGTCATCACTCTTACTATAAGATTAATAGCAGTATCTGTTATTAAAGATGAATATATACAACATCTCTTTACAGATTATAAGAATGTCTTTTCAGAAAGAGAAGCAGTGAAGTTTTCTAATATCAAGATATAATAAAAGATTTATCTTGAAGATAGTGTAATAATACTGTACAGATCTCTTTATAACTTATCTGTAAAGAAATTGAATATTCTGTATAAATATCTTAAGAAAGTGCAATTAAAGAACTAAATATACTTATTAAAGTGTTCAACAGAGACACTTATACTATTTATACTTAAGAAGAATAGTAGACTATATCTATACATAGACTATAGAGGTCTTAATAAGATGATAATTAAGAATCACTATTTATTACTATTATTATTATTATTATTATTCTTCCATTATACTCATATGCAAGCGGAGCTTATGATGAGTCCTTGCGTGATGTTAAATACAGGTCAAGTGTTGGTTATACAGGAGGAAAAATACAGGGTGTTGAGACCACGCCAAGATAACAAGAACATAGAAAATACAAAGAAGTGACAATTAGATACATGCGATAATAACTTCCAGCCCAGGAACATAGAGCGATTCATTGGAGCGATTTGTACACCTCTGTATTTTATTAGGAACCTGAGGTGCTTGAGTTCTGGATTTAATGTATCCCCTGCGGGTTTCAAACCCACACGCCTTGGTTTCCCACACCAAGGCGCTACCGGGTGGCCGCATTAACCATTCGGCCACCGGGGCTTATTACTATTAATTAATGAGACAATTGATTGATTATCTGAAGCAAAGATATTCTCAAAGATTAATATACAGAATATCTATTATAGAATCAGAGTTAACAAAGATAATATTTAAAAAATAACTTTTTATATTAAGTACAGTAATTTTAAATATCTTGTTTTAGCTTTTAATCTTTGTAATACTTCAGTCATCTTTCAGATTTATATAAATGAGACACCGCAGAGCCTTGTCAATATCTTCTATATAGTATACTTGAATGACATTCTAATCTTCTTAAAACAGAGAAAGAACATAATATCTATATTTAAGAAGTATTAAGTTGCTTAAGATAGTATTAACTCTATATAAACACTAAAAAATACTCATTCTACATGCAGAAGATTGATTTCTTAGATTATATTATTGAGATTAATAACATTTCAATGAATAGAAGCTGAGTCTCTGTCATTGAGAACTAGTCAGCACTGTGAATATACTGTGAGATACAGATATTTCTAGAATTTGTGAATTTCTGTGGTTTGAAAGAATATATGACTGCTGGATAATAACGCGGCCACTTCTGAACTTGCTTATGAATGTAAAGAGGCCATAGCAGCCATCAATTAATTTAGTGTACAGTATATAAGAAGTCAGTGTACATCTGTAATTGTATACTGACTCAAGCAATCTTTGAATCACATCTGATAGCATGTCTAAAAACTGATGAGAAGTGCAGACTTCTTCAGAATGTGATAATTTCATCTATGAAGCAATTCATAGTTATCATGTCAGTGTGGTTCTAGAACATCTCAAAAGATAGTGTATAAAGAGCAGTGAGTGAAAGAGCATCTGATTGATACTGCTTTACTTGTTGAAGAAAAACTTCACACTCAGATAAATGCCATGTATGTGAACAGATGAGATGAGAGAAAGAGAATAAGAGCAGTGAATCAGATTCAAAGAAGTTCACTCTCTACTCAAAAGAAGAATAAAAAGAGAATGTGATCATCATCAGAGTCATATAATAATAACAGAAATCATATAATAATATAGTGATATAATGATAGACATTGTACAATCAATGAGAAATCACTGAAATGAATATCTTCTCTAGTCAATATGAACATCCTTCTCTGTTATCTGAACTGAAAGATATGCAGAACCTCTCAGAGAGTTTACTCAAAGCAGTAAGAAAAGCAGTCAAGACTACTGAATCAGAATCAAAGCTCTGTACATATACAAGAATTCTAAATGAAATTGAGGTCTTGTGTATGCAGTGACAGACTGAGACAGAAGTTAAACAACAATTGACATTCACTGCAGATTAAGTATTCATGATAAAGAGCTTCACTGATGCAATCACTATTATTAAGAAGAATAGAAAAAACCAGGTCTTAAATCTATAGCAGAAGATTGAATGTTTACAGATAACTACACTGAATCTGAAGATTTCATCATAATTATTCACAATCTCTTCAGAAGTATACACATCATCAGAGACTGCTGTGCAGAATGAGAATCTGAATATGAAATACATTAAGTTAGAAGATCTGTCAGAGCTATTAAGCTTCAATAACAACTGAAAAAATGATGCTGTAATCAGCTGACTAAGTCAGATATAATTATATTATTAAATTGAATATGAACTTACAGACAGAC